CGTTTATCTTCAAATATCTTTCAGAGCTTAAAAGTTGTTTCAATAATATTTTATATGATTTCTGATCTCCGATATTGTAATTACTGAATTGTAAGTGAGAGCGGAAAGGAGAGAGTCAAAATATGAGGGAATAAGAGCTTGCATGCTAGTTTTCAATTCAAGATCATAATGAGAGATCTTCTAGTGTATTATAGTGAATTAAAACCGTTTGGAATTTAAAACTCAAGTCGGCTTCATTTTCAGCTATCAGATCAGAGCGAATCAGTTGAACAATCTATCTTACTTTACCTATCCACAATTTAAACTTGCTCTTTCATACTGCCTCTCTCTCTTCTGTTGCACACCTTTTCCATCCCCCTCTCGTATGCAATTAAATAAAATTCAAATTTATTGCTTAAGCACTATGCCACTTTGCGCCACTTTTTGGTGCACAATAACATTCACAGCGTCTCTTTTCGACGGCGTTGCAAGCTGCATGAGAAATGTGTTAAGCCTTGACCTTTTGGGTAAGGGCATGGGAAAACATTAACAAGAGAAAGAAAAATTTAACTTAATTGCCATTCACAAAAATGCGTGAGAGGTGGCAAATGCCCTCCACTTGGAGCACTCGAGCCCCAGCACCGACTGGCCCCAACCCCTAAATGCCTGGCAGTCATAAAGGGGTGTTATATTTGTTGTTCCTCTTGTTGATGTTGTTGCTGTTGCTGTTGTTGTTGCTGCTGCTGCTTTCGGGCGTATTTTGTGGGCTTGCTTGTGGTTGTTGGCACCGGGTCTCCGGCTCTCCGGGTCTCTGCGCTTGGCGTGCGTGCGCCGTGCGATATAATTTATGTTTCAATAACTTTCCAAACTCATTGAAAAGTCGCTTATGTTTGCTTCAATGGTGGCAGGCAACAACAACGACTACAACAACAACAACAACAACAATGCGCATGAGAAGAATGTTAAAAGTACAACAATAAATTGTTTGGATTTACTTATGCTGCTGCTGCTGCTGCTGCTGTTGGGGGCGTGTTTGGGGGCTGGAGGCGCTGCTACAGCTGCCATTTGCCATTTTACTCAATTTTTATTGTTGTTGCACTTCAGCGACCCGCTTTGTCTCTGCTGCCATAACAACAACAACAGCAACAACAACAGCAAAAACTCGCTTAAGTTGCAAAAGTTTTGCTATTTTTTTCGTAGCTCGCAGCTCCCAGCACCCGCTCTATCTAATGCCTCCGCTTGAATGTGTTTTGTTTGCCATTTGCTTTGCTCTGTGAGCTGCTTTTTCTTTCCTTTTTTTGTTATTTATTCCAGTTGTTGTTGTTGTTGTTGTTCTGTTTTCATTTTGTGCTTTTAAATTTATTTGCAAGTTTTCTAATTTGTACTTCACTCCATTTTATTGTAATATACAATCTCATTTGCACACAGATAGAGATAGAGAGAGAGCGAGCGAGAGAGTGAGTGAGATGGAGATAAAGAGAGTGAGCAAAAGTGCCGCCTGCCATATCTGTGTTGGGCATGTATCTCAATCTATCTGACTGCTTGTTCTATCTAAGCCACCAACAGGCGAGCAGAGAGAGAGGAGAGGAGGAGGAGGAGAAAGTGGAGGAGGAGAAAGTGGAGGAGGAGAAAGTGGAGGAGGAGAAAGTGGAGGAGGAGGCTGCCTAGTCGCATGCAATGCTTTCTTTGCCAGCGGTAAAATGTCTGCCCTGGTGCGCATATTTATTAACCGCACTGTTGACTCTCGTTGCGGCGCCACCAGCAACAGCAACAACAACAGCAACAACAGCGACAGCAACAGCAACTTAGTGTGCAGCTTGTTGCCCGTTGTCGTTGTCGTTGCTGTTGCTGTTGCTCTCAGTTTGAATTTTGTTGTCGCACCTTTTCAGGAATTCTGTTTACATTTATTACTTTGCGCAAGTTTAAGTGAAAAATTTCCATAAACATTCTTTTAAGCGACATAAAGTTTTTATTAAATTTTGCTAGAAATCCCTGACACGATGATATCAGCAGCGACAACGACAACGACAACGGCAGCGGCAACAAATAGAGCTGCGGAATTTACAAGCAACAACTACCCGTAGAGCCCGTAGATTTCATCAGACACAGCCTCAGACTCAGACTCAGCCGCTGCTTCAGCTTCAGCCTCAGCCTCGTTGTCCTCGCTGTGCTCGTTGCTGTTAAGACAGCAGCCAATGGCGTTGCCTGCTTTGGGAATCAGTGGAGTTGTTACTGTAGCTGCTCCTGCTCCTGCTGCTGTCGCTGCTGCACGCAGTTCATAAAAATTTTGCCAGCCAACGTGACATGCACAAAGGCAAAGGACACATGGCAGCAACAGCAGCAGCAGCAGCAGTAGCAACGGCAACAACAACAGCAGCAGCACTCGCAGCTGTAGTTGGAGAATGTGGCATAAAGTTTTGCAGAGCCGAGGCGCCTGCTTGTTAACCTGAGTGGAGCAGCTGCCAACCCATTCAGCGGCGCACAGGACATTAGATGAAATTCAATTAAAACAAGGATGTATTTCGCTTACGGCATACCAGCTGCCAGCAGTTCTTAAAAAGGAACTAAGATAAGAGAGAGAGGGAGAGAGAGAGAGAGAGAGAGAGAGAGAGAGAGAGAGAGAGGGAAAAAAAGGAAAGGGCAAGGAATGCGCTTAACTTTTCGCACGCGCTACGCTTAGCGTGTGCTCACATTGCGCATACGCCACGTGCGCCGCCATAAAACGCTTAATTTGAGTGACAGACACACACACACGCACACACACAAAGTCGTTAAGTTCATTTACAAGCTGTCATTGTTGCTGCTTCCGCTGCTGCCCCTGCTGCTGCTGCTCGTGATTATCGCAGCTCAAATTCAATTGCAATTGACTCATTAAACGCCGCTCATTATTCATACCGTCCGCAAAAACCAGCTAATTTACGTTAAGCATTTTTGAATAAGGTCAGCAACAGCAACAACAAGTACAAAAAATTTAAAAAATAATGAAAGGGCGGCCTGATTGAGCGGGGCGTGGCTGTGGCAGGTGGCCTCGGTGCATTCAACCAAAAGCTGATCGAAACCGCAACAAATGACAAACGATTCGAATAAACACAACACACGGCAACACGCACGACAAGCGAGACAGTTGCAACAGGAGATAGAGAGGGAGAGAGAGTAGCACGCGCGAGCGAGGGTATCTGCCACACACACACACACACACTCATATATCATGTGGACTCAACAAGAAAAAAAAAAAAGAGGGGAAAATCAATGAAAATGAAAACCAATTAGCGGTTAACCAAACTGTTCAAATTTGGAAATGGATGCAGTCGCGCATGGTCATAAACAACAACAGCAGCAGCAACAACAACAACAACAACAAGCTGAGCAAAAACGGATATGGAAATTTGTAGTCGAAAGAGCAAAGCAGAACAGAGCAGAGCAGAGAGGAGCGTCAATTACAAAAGCTGGAAAGGTAAACGCGGTCGCCGAGATTTACCAGAATAATAATCAAAGTCTGGTCAGATAGCCAAACGCAAGGCATGAAAACAATTACAGTGCTATATGTATGATATTTCTGCTTCTTCTATCCCCTTTTTTCTCCGCTGCAAATTGAATATATGGGAATAGAAATCGATACGGAATTGGTAAAAAATAGATATGAGAGCAAATATAGAAAAGAGTTGGGAGTTCACTTTGTTGACTGTGCTTGATCTGAGATGACAATGATGGTTACTTTAAAGCAGCTCTATAGAGAGCAGCTTCTATAAAAAGGTGAGTGGAGCTTTAGAGCTCGATAAGAAAGATTTCATTTTGCTCTTTGACTATTTACTACGAAAGTATAAGACTTCCTATGGCTAATCCAAGAAACAGCTAGATGAACATTGTACAAATATACTCTTTTTCCATTAGTGAACGAGTATAACAAGCTTGGCTCACTTTTGAGTTGCCTCAACTACAGCTGCAAGCCGTTTGAATAGATTTTGTTTGCATTTCAAAGCCTTAACTAACCCTGAAACTAATTTCAATAGGCAAAGTTTCCAATTATGTTTTGAAGCTTGCTTCAAATTTTTATTTACAGCACTTCAAGCCAACTTTAAAGCAGGCCAAAAGGGGGCAAATAAAGGAAATTACTTAAAAAATAAATATATAAATAAAAAAAATAAAACTACCAAAGTAGTTAGGAATATAAATTCAAATATTTTTAGCATTGCAAAAAAAAAATCAAAATAATAATATTTTGTAGTTGAGCATGTGCACGTAAATGTAGACATAATCATACATGAATACATACATACAAGCATGGGCTTGTCAGTGTGTGTNACTTAAAAAATAAATATATAAATAAAAAAAATAAAACTACCAAAGTAGTTAGGAATATAAATTCAAATATTTTTAGCATTGCAAAAAAAAAATCAAAATAATAATATTTTGATGGCACATGAAAAAGTTTTTTTTTTTTTTTTAATATTTGTAATTTGTTACAACAAATTTATTATTTATTATAATAATTTGTAGCTCTGTCAAACTGCAGCTAAAAAAGACAAAGAAAAAACTGAGTTGCATCAGCTTCGTTTAGCTGCAATAGTAAAAGTTTCCCTAGTGAAATATCTTTGATTGCCAAAATGTGAACAGTGAAGGTAAAAGCTTTACGTTAAAGTTGAGTTAACTTCTTGCTAAGTTGAAAATTATATAATTTGAGTTGTTTGCAAAGTAGTGCACTAAACAAATTTCAATCAAGCTATGGAGTCGAAACCAATTATGAAATTAGTTTACTAAATTACTTAAAGCCGAATTTAAATAGAGTTTCTGATGTTAAGAATAACAAAGCTAAGAGCTATTGAGTCTTCTATGAAATGAAAGCCAGCAATCAGTAGGAAGAATCAATCCAGGCATATACATACAATCGTCCTTTTCTGTAGATCTCAAGTAAGACTTTACCTTCTTCATTGACCTCATGAGAAACCCAGCCTACTTCAACATAAGCTTCATCTCAACCTCTTTCACAGCTAACCAACAAATTTTGGATGGCTTAAACTCACCTGGATCTGCGTGTCGTGGGATCCTTCATGACCATTGCCTCAGAGATATCGCCGTAGCGTCCAAAATAATCGCGTAAGCTCTCTGCAAATAAAAACAAAAGCAACAGGATGAAACAACAACAGCAACAAGAACAGCAGTAACAGTAACAGTAACAACAACAGCAACAGTAACAGTAAATGTGGTAAATAATCAATAAGCGAAAGTTTATGAAATGTCAGGGAGCAGTCATCAAAAACGGACGAGCAGGAGGACGAGCAGGAAGTGGAGGAGGCGCAACTCCAGCCAGCAGAATCAGCGCCTGGCAAAAGTTACTAATTTTTGTTACGGTCTTCATAAAAATTCGCGCGCGCGTTTGCCCTCATAAATAAATGACGTCGTCTGTGGCACACACAAGCGCCAATAAACCCCAACTCTAAAGCCAATTGCTGGACATTATTCACATGCACACGCTTCAAGGCTCAACAAAAACCAACAGGACGCAAAAAAAAAATACTGAAACGGGCGAAAAGCGAAAAACTCATGCCGTGCCGCCTCTTTAGCACTTGCACAGAAACATGGAGAGAAGGGAGAGAGGAGAGCGGGAGAGTGGGTGGTCGAGTGTGGGGAGATCAGCCCATGGCCCCAGCCTCAGCAGGCAGCTCCGCCATGGCAGCTGTTGTCTGCGGTTTTGCCAAGCTAATCTGGCAGAGCAGAGCGCTGAGCGCTGGGCGAAGAGCGCAGAGTCCTGCGTAGCGAGTCGAGCGCACTTCAGTGGCACGTACGCACACAGACGCAAACGCTGAAGTTGTTTCAACAAAATTGCCAGACAAACAGCGAGGCTATGGGGGTGGGGCGGACCGGGGCATGATGGGCTCAGGCTAACAGTTCGGCTGCGATTTAATGCAGCAAAAAGCCGATAAAGTCATCTGCTACCAGAGCTGGCAAAGAAATACCCTAATCCAGTCGACGGGCTGCTAGCGCGTTGCGTCATAAATTCAAACTACAATAAAAATTCAATAAAACAAACCATTTTTTTTTTTTTTTTTTTTTTTTTTTTATTAAAATTTCTTTTTTTTTTTTTTTTTTTTTTTTTTTTTTTTGTGTTGCCAGCAACAGCAGCAGCAGCAGGGCAACAGCAACTAGTTGCGCTTGCCACATTCTGTGGCTCGGCCGGGGTGCATGCAACGCGCGGTCGAAATGCGTCGCGTGATTTACATAAGTATGCACAATAATTATGAACAATAAAAAACAATTTGTTTGCTTATGACAGTTTTCGTTGGCCATAAATAACAGCAGCAACTGGCGTAAATGCAGGCAGAGAGAGACAGACTGAGAGAGAGAGAGAGAGTGAGAGAGAGAGAAAGGCAAGTGCAGCAGTTCGCTATGCGTGTGTGGCATGTAAATTGATGACCAAGTAGGCAAGTGCAAGAGAGAGAGACAGAAAGAGAGGGATAGACTCAACTGCTGCTCTGTACTACGGTACGTATGTGTAATGTGGCATGCTACACTTTAAGTTTCAATGGGGCAGCTCGCTCGACATTTCCACATGGAATGACCCGCCAATTAGCCAGAGGTGTAGAACAACTTTATATTGAAAGTAACACAAAAAAGTCGCGCCTGCTCGAGCAAGTCGAGTGCTATATTCATGAATGTTTTCTTTGCCTGTGCTAGCGACCATTCATTATTCACACTGAATATGCACTTTATAATATGCGAACTCATCAAGCTTAGCAATGTGAGAGCTGTTGGAGGTGAGCTTCACTGTGAGCCAGCATTTAAATGATATTTATTTGTTGTGTTATTATTCTAATGTCATAAAAATGATTTAGAGTCGATATTTCCTTTTCTTTAATGTTATATGGGAGAAGCTGTGTTATTCACTCTTAATATGGTTGGTATAGTGTATAATGTGCAGATAAGAAATGCAGTAAAGGCTCAAAGAGCCAGTGGAGGAACTGGAGTTGGGGTTATGCTATTAACATACTTTTATTAACATACTTCTGTTAATAGCATAGCATAGTGCATAGTGGGGGCGAAGCGATTCCCGTTAATGGAATTGTTTGAATTGGGAATAAAGGAAATATATACAGTATATGGTAATAACATTATTAAACCCAGGCAAATATTTTAATTATTTTTAACTTATTTATTTTAAATCATTTTAATATTTTTTAAAAATAAAATTTAAATGTGTTATTTTTTCAGCTTTCACTTTAGATTAAAGATTAATTTTAATAAATGTATACAAAATGAAGAAGATGGGCAAGGGGCTGCCTTTGGCTTTATAGAAAGTCCAATAAAATTTGATACTTTAGTTATTTATTGTTAATGGAAAAATACCTTCAAATCCAGTAATTTCTTCAAAGATTTGCAAGTACTTTAAAGATATTTTATAATTCTGTCAATTTGATTCTCTCTCTTCCCTCTCTCCCTCTCTCTCTCTCTCTCTCTCTCTCTCTCTCTCTCTCTCTCTCTCTCTCATATTCGCAAAATAAGTTTTTAGCTAACTTTTAAAGTTTCACAGCTTCTGGCATTGTTCAGTCGAAGTTGCAACAGATTTGAATTGTGAATCCATTGCGAGCATCTGTCATATATCCGCACCATTCACGCATATCACATATGCCAAAATGGAAAATCGTATATACGCAAACAGCTGCCAACAGTTACCCTGCCCCATCTCTCTCTCTCTCTCTCTCTCTGTCTCGCTCTCTCTCATTCAGTCTGTCTGTCGCTCTCTTTCTGTTGGTTTCTTGCAGTGTGTGCAGAGCTCATAACTCAATCAACTGCCCGAAATTAACTGTCCGTCAACCTTTCATTTACCTTTCTAACCCACTTTGTCGCTGTTGCTGCTGCTCCTGCTGCTCCTGCTCCTGCTGTTGCTCCTGCTGTTGCTGCTGGGCACTGAAAACTCGTCGTTTTATAGAGCGACAGCCATTTCGCATACCCAAATACCTTTCCGCCCAATTAACCATTTCACATTTCTCTCAGTGCACAGCTGCCCCCTCTCCCACCACAGTCCGCCCCCTGCCACAGCTCGTGTGCATTGCATCGCTTTGTTCGCTGTCGTCCGCTGCGACGCTCATTTTTGAGTGACAGCTGCAAAGTTTGTTTTGCATTTCATATTTGCGTGCGTTCTCTCTCTCTCTCTATCTCTGTCTCTCTCTCTCTCTCTGTCTTTCTGTGTGTGCAGTGGCAACTGTCACTTGACCGGCTGTCAGTGTTACGCCCAACCCACCCCACGGCTAGCGCCCCCTTGACCCACCCGCATTCAGAGCCAATAGAAAAGCTAGCAAACAAAATAAATGCGCACATGCATAAAGTGTAAATGCGAATAAAAGCGCAGAAAACAATAATAAAAAAAAAAAAAAAACAAAAATAAATAAAAATATATACATATACATACAAATGAAGAATGACAAAAAAAAAGGAAACAAAAAGTGGACAACAAATTAAAACGCGGCCAACATAAAATTAAAATTTATTTGCTACAACAACAACAAAAAGTATAAAGAACAGTGTTTGTGTATATAAAATAGAAGAGAGTGAAGGAGAGAAAGGGAGAGAGTCAGAGAGAGAGTGAGAGACAAGTGGGCGGAAGGGCAACAAAGTGGCAACAACGACAACAACAACAACAACAACCAAATATATTGTTGTAACGAAGGCAGAAGCCAAACTTGGATTTAATTAAAATGTTTACCACAGTCATTTCATTTTCATAGCCAGCAAACATAAATTTTGAAACGTACAGCCACAACAACAACAACAGCAACAACAACAACAACAGCAGCAGCAGCGATGGCAACCACAAGCGAAACAGCTGCAAGAAAATGCCCCAAAAAACCATTAAACTTGGCCCAGCACAACATTCGCCAACACACACACACACACACTCACGCACGCACATGCACACACTCTATAAGTGTATATAAATACCGTTATAGAGCCAACTCTCAATTTAGCCAATTTTGATTGTTGCATTTGGTAAACAGAATTTGCCTGCCAAAACAAAAATGAAATAAATTTGCAGGTAATTAGTTCAAGCAGCTACCAGACACACACACACACAGACACACACTCACACCCATGCTTAATGTCAGCATTTATACCAAATCCATTTAGTAAAATTATTTATAAGAAAAGTCAACTCAAGTCCAACCCTCACATTGGCAAACCCAAATCCGAATCCCGTTTGCGGTTGCAGGCATATTAACCCCTTAACGTTACAACAGCAATCCCAGCGCAGGCACTCCCCTCACCCATCCCATCCCACCCACCTCATGCCTCTTACCCCTCTCACATGGTTGTATGTCAAAAGCACAATGCTGAAACCATAAATTTATGTGCTTTCTATTGTTTTTGCCAAAGAAAGCGGAAGTTGTGTGTTTTCTGTGACGCAGCTAAGCCAGCAAGCAACAAAAACAACAGCAAACAACACCAGCAGCAGCAGCCGCAGCAGCAGCAACAGCAACAACAACAATCCGAAACAAAGCAAAATCTATAGAGTGAACCCTTTCGAACAGCAAGTCGAACACGAAATATTCTTGTGTTTGATGGGGTTAGTCTTGCCTTCCCACTGATAATGCTTATATAAACTATATGATAATCGTATTTGTTCAAATGATGATCCTAAATGGCTAGATATGTCTTGGAGCATGCTGAGCTCTGTCAAGCTGACTTGAAGAACTTTAATCCAAATCCAAAGCTAACTGCATATAAGCTTTGCATTATTCACATCAGCTATGCATATCATTTGGAAGGGACGAAGACTTTACTTCTTATATAGAAAAATTTTTGTTTTTGAACTTACTATAATGCATCTTTGTTTTGTGAAATAAGATTGTAAAGCCGAAGCATATGATAAAACTTAACATTACGGCAATTTGCAATGACTGAATTATAAAGCATTATCGAATGAATTGATTATGCAATGAAATCAACTCAATCCATATATAGAAATGAGTCTTATTGAAATAAAATAAGGAATATAAGGAATATATTTAACAATAAATCAACAATCAATCCACAACTTTATTTTCAAAGACTTTTGTCCATAATACTTTATGATATAAAAGACGATGGTATATATAGAACAGCAAGAGCAA